TTATATATGACTATTGTTTTAATGCTAAAATTCATCACGCCGATCACCCATTTATTTAAGACATGCCGAAATATGAAATTGTGAAGGATAATAACATGTAAATTGGCTTATAAAATATAAACATTTTGTTTTATTTAGTGAAGAAATGGTCAATTGGCCATCTAAGTCAAATGAACATTGCAATTGAGCCCACAACTGAACAAAAAAAAAAAAAAAAAACATCCAAACCCCTTAAATCAGTACAAATGTTCAATTAAGTTCTAAACTTCTAATTCAACTTGTTTAGCATGTTAATGCTACATAATTGACACATGTCTTTTTAGAAATTTGTTAGTATTTTTTTTTTAATGTATATAGTTGGTGACTGTTGCATTTCACTGATAGTCGTGGCTATCCAAAAATGACGAACATGACTATCATTCAAATCTTAACCATCTGAAATGAGGGTTACAGTCATGATTGCTACCTTCAATTCGTTTACCTTCAATTCGTTCTAGAGGAAGATAAGTCACTCCCGTTTCAGATTATTGAATTAGATGACAACCATAAATGTCTAAAAGAAAATTGATTTTCTAGATGACCATGACCATCTTTTTTGAATAGCCACAGGTTGTTTCCTTCAACAGTTGGTGTTTGTATTAAATAAAATTCAAAATTTTTAAATAAAAAAACAAACAATTCTTTTTAAAAGGGGCAAATAATAATAATAATAATAATAATAATAATAATAATAATAATAATAATAACACATGTCAACTAATTAAGTAAGCATTAACCCGCTACACAAATTACATTATATTAGAATTCATCAATTTAACATTTTTGTCAGTTTAGGAAGTTTGAATGGAGATTTTTTCACTTATGGACCTCGATCAATTGCACAATCTCTTCGACTTGGGGGAGGGGTGGGGGGATTGACTCTTTTTCTCTCTCTCTCTCTTTTTTTTTTTAAAAAAATTTAATTATTCATAATGTATTTTATATTTCATATGTAAATTCTATAATAATTTAATTTTAAATTGTTGTTGTTGTTGTTGATGTAAAATTGGCCAACAACTTATAGCGAAACATGTGTGTTTGTGATGTGATTAATATTAGGATATAGAGTAAATAAGTTTTAGATTTTAAATTTTTAATTATTATATAAATATAAGAAGAATTTAAAAGCTAAGTGTCAATCGACATTGTGCTTATTTACATTGGGTATATCAAAAAAGTTTTTAAGTTGCATTGGGTATATCTCATAGTACTTAGTACATGTTTCTTGGATTGCATCTAATGAAAATTAGTACAATATAAATTCACTATTATTTACAAATAAATAATTTTAATTATTTAGATAAATAAATTTAATAAAAATTAACGAATCCTCCATTTATCAAACATGAGAAGTTCTTATTATTAGTGGATAATCAAGGCATTGGATTCAAACCATAATTTGTCGTCACTATGTTTGTTGAATTTAATAGTCGTAATTAATAATAAGAATATGGTTCAAACTGACCACTAACGTAATTTGAAAATGCAATTATTGATCGTAGGGAGTGGAGTAATGTGTCTCCTACTCTCATTTCTTTTGTTCTTGTTTTTGATTGCTGTTAATGAAGTTGTCTTATTTCCAAAAAAAAAAAAAAAATACAATTAGGTCACTGAACACTCCAAATGCATGCAATTTCACCTAATAGCAGATTATCATCAATTTTAACAGGTTACCTGCTTATATGGCAGCTGAGTTGGTATTTTTAATAATTTTTTAATAAATTTTAATAATAAATTTTTAAAAAAATTAAAAAATTATAAAAAATAAAAATAAAACGACCGGGTGGCCGGCGGCCACCCCGTCATTTAATTTTTCTTTTATTTAATTTTTTTCAATCTTTTTAAATTAATTATTTAAAATTTATTAAAAATTATTTAAAAAATTATTCCATTTTATTTAAAAAATTTCATTTATGATAATATGGATACTACTAATTTATGTGTCTGATTCAATTAATGATGTTTGACGAAAATTATTTACAATTAAATTTTCATAATATTAAGCAGTGTTGTAAAAATTTCGCATAATCGGTGCTTAGATGCTAGGCGCTAACTGGCCGCCTAGCGTATCACTATAATCGATGGTTTAGGCGGCCGCTTAGGCGCTGACCGCCTAGGTTGCCTAGTCGGCAGATTAGTTATTGCTCCCTTCTTTTCTAAATGAGTTATTTAACTCATACATTCTTTTGGAGCGAAATAGCCCTAAATTATTCACATGTTTTTTAGGTTAATATTTAATCTTTTAGTATTAACTATTAAAATATGGATAACACTTGTGTGAGACCGTCTCACGGGTCTCAATACGTGAGACGGATCGGATATTTGATTAATGGCTTGGATCTTTGACCTTATTAATTAAAGATCTGACCTGTCACACAAGTTTTTGCCTTAAAGTATTAAATAATTTATAATTATCAAGTTTTAAAAAATTAAAAAATTTTAAACAAATTTTTAAAAAATAAAAAATATACGGGCGCCTAGCCGCCGATTAATCGCCGCCTAAGCGTCGTAAGCGCTAGGCGCTAGACGTTCCCAAGCGTCTGAGGAGCACATAGCGATTTTTTCTACCATAATATCAAGTTTAATATTTTTATATAAAAGTTATATATTTAGAAAGTAAGGAAATGCTCTTCTTGTCTTTGCCCCATATGATTGAAAACCGCAAGCCAATACTATTATTTTTACAAGATTATGTTTAGAGTTCACTTTCACATTGTCTTTATTCCTCATCTTGCTTTGTATGCACTAGAATTATTGTTGGACAGAAGGCAAATTTAACATTCTGATACTGAAATGTGCGGACAATTATTAATCAAAATAAATATAAATATTAAATATAAAAGTGTGTTTTCATTATTTCTCTCAAAAGTTGAATCTCTAATCTCAATGACCCGACATAACATTTGGAAGAACAAATATCTATCAATTTTAGACATAATTTTCACAATACATGTTCGAATCTTGGTCTCTTATTCCAAATATTGCATATTAAACCAATGAGTTAAACCCGCATAAACAGTGTGTTTCCATTACTAATAACTTTTCACGTACTGATAAGCGTTTGATGTCACTATTACTCTTACGTCTTACCACAACTGATACGCTAATTCATCATCTGCTTACTTTAATTTAAATTTAAATATATAAATGGTGGTTAAATTTATTGTCTACGTTATCGTAATAAAAATTGAAATTTGTTTGGTACATACGTTGCTCGATCTTTGTCGTTTGCCATTGTCGATGGTGTCGTAGTCAATAGTTTCTGTCGCCAATCACCGGTAGGGTAACCAGCAGGTGGATGGTTTCGTATCCATACCCAGAAGTAGCACTTTCATTTACGTGTTTTTCCTCATTTTATTTATTATTTAATTCATTTATAAACATTATTTGTTATTTTAATTTATTGTGACAAGTTGACACACCGCAAATGGAATTGCACCATCTGCTACAACATTAACAATTATCTTTAATTTTACAATTCTACAAGTAAATAAATAAAAATAACAAAAATTTGATTAGAGAATTGATGGATTTAATTAACATGAGGCAGCCCAAATTAAATTCTTGTATTGATACCATATTTGTAGGTAGTTGGAATAACTAGACAAGTGAATCAGATGACGCCTCAACCAAGGTCGTCTTCCTCTCGGGTCGCATCTCTCCTTCGATTTGTGTTGACTCTATTACATTGTAGTATCTGTTCAAACATATTGTCTCAACTTAATGAAGGACAAAGAACGCCTTCACTGAGACTCAATCTCATGACCTCCCACGTGGGAGAGGTCACTACATGTCATCTGAGCACAAGGTGCTTGACAGCTTAACCTAAGTTGATTTACCTATAGAGGGTATATAAGATGTCGCGCATCATTTCCAACTCAATTAAAAGTCTTAGTTAAACTTGATAAAGATGGCTGAAATATACTCTCTTATCCCATTTTACCTTGTTAATTGTTTTATTCAAATCAATTGTTGTTTTTTTTTTTTGCTTATTTTCTTTAATATTTTTTTAGTAATTTGTAATTTTTGTATTTAATAATATTTTTAAACTTTTTTTTTTTTTTTTGAAAATAAAAGGCTAATTCATTAATCATAAACATAAATGTTTACAATACAGATCATTAGAATGACAGTGCATTCTTTACCGTTAGACATAGAAACAAATTTCCTATAAATGTTATAGAAAACTTGGATCGCGTACTGTTTTATAAATTTTAAACTTATTTTTAAATATATAAATTTCATGTACTAATATTGAACTAAATGTTACAAAAAAACTCGTTAATTAAACTAGACGCATAAAATGAGGTGGTGAGACTATTAAAGTAGAATTTGTTACACATTTGTATTAGAGCAACTACAACAGTGCATTTTTCTTAATTTTTAGAACAGTAAAAAATTGAACAATTGATTTTTGACAGATGGGAAACTTGATTTTTAGCAAATTTTTTATCCTACAAAAACATGGCCAGATAAAAAAAAAGAAAAAACTTGAAGTGTGCGCTTGGAGTACACTATGCCCCCCGGCACGTCATAGTGGTCGCCAGCTAGCGGCCACTATGACTTTATAATCGTTACAATCCCTTTTTTTTTTTTTTTTTAATTTTCAGACACATTTTTTTTATTTTCTTTTTCTCTCGCATTTTAATCTCTCTCCTACATGACATGTTAAAAATTGTGCAAAAACTTAACAGATACGAATGCTCTTAGGATCATTTCCTCTCACATTCATCACAATATTCATGGTCATTTTACATTTATATTTTTTTCGAGTACTCATTTTACATTTATATAATTAGTCATATTTTTAAGTATTAATTCCATTGTAATTGTTATTTAAAATTTTTTTAGTTAATAATAATGCTAGCAAATACGAGTAGCAATTATTCCAAAAAAAAAAAAACGGTTGGCATCAACCTTAGGCTAATCTAAGAAAAACATTACACTGGACGCACGTTGTTCCCATCCTTCCTCTTCTCTCTCTATATTCTCTTACAATTTCCAAATACTTTTTTTTTTTTTAGTATTTTTAATTTTATTTTCCGCATCTCTGATCTCTGCTAAGAATTCTACGGAGTATTTAACAAAAAAAATCAATTTATTTAAAAAGGAGCCGAATAGCCAAGACAATGAAGAGAAGAGAGGAACCTTTGGGAAGAGAGAGGACGAACACATCCTCTGTTTTTGTCTTGTACATATAAAAAATAAAAAAAATATAGTATATATATTTATATATTTAGCATGTATCTGCATATGCCTTGTGTTTAGATCTCCGTTTCATCCAATTCACCGTCTGGGTTTTCTTCAAAATGGTGAGAATTTTTTAAAAGATTGAATCTTTTTGCTGCTCTTTGCTTGATACATAAGCTTCCTTTTGATCTTTGTTTTTTTTCCCCCCTCCAGTTTCTGTTTTTGGGCCCTGATCTATGTGAATTATGCATTTCATAGTCACTGGATTGAGGTCTTGATTGATGCAAACAAGGATGAGATGTTCCTCGATTGAATCCGACGTTTGTTAGTTGGTTTCTGATCACTATCTGCAACTGAGGTCTGCCTGATTTTCTGGATAAGGTGCGAATTTGCTTCGTCACTGGTTTCCTTATCCACATTGGATCTAAAAATATATTCATTTCTCGCGATGGGTCTCTTGCAAATGCTGGGTTTTTATCTTTCCCAGTTGTCGATGTTCTATGCAACTAAATTTGATTCAGATGCGCAAGATTTTAGTGTGTTCAAGCATGATTCAACTAGTTAATCCTAACTGCTTTGGTTTTGAATTGCGAATTAGTGTTTTCCGTTTTCTGGGTGAGAATGACTGATGTGTGGATGAATCTGTGTGTGTAGAAATGATGGAATCGGATCTCGGTAAGCTATTCATTGGTGGAATATCTTGGGACACGGATGAGGATCGTCTTAAAGAGTATTTTAGATCGTATGGAGAAGTGGTTGAGGCTGTGATCATGAGAGATCGCAACACTGGTCGTGCCCGAGGTTTCGGTTTTGTGGTCTTTGCTGATCCTGCAGTTGCTGAACGAGTGGTGAAGGAGAAGCATATGATAGATGGAAGAACTGTAAGTAGTTTGTGATGCTAAATTGCTAATACCTTCGATTCATGATGAGATAGGAATGGAATTTAGCTAGTTTAATGAGTCCAATTTTGCCGGGATTAGTATTTGGTATACTATAGGTCATGAGTTTGAAAAACCTCTTTGAAATTAGATATAGCATTGAATTCCATACCTATATCCGGTGCACTTGATCTCACTTGTTTCTTTTAAAGCCTTACTACTTAGATAGTAATGTGAAAGATACTCGTTTGGCTTGTTTAGTAGCTGTAAAATGATAAAGGTCCGTTTTTTTTAAATGGGTAATATGATTCTTGATTTGATTGATATTGAATTCTCAGGTTGAGGCGAAGAAGGCTGTACCTAGGGATGACCAAAACATAATAAATAGAAGCAATAGCAGCATTCAAGGGTCTCCGGGTCCTGGACGCACAAAAAAGATTTTTGTAGGAGGGTTAGCATCCACAGTTACCGAAAGTGACTTTAAGAAGTACTTTGATCAGTTTGGCACGATCACGGATGTGGTTGTGATGTACGACCACAACACTCAACGGCCAAGAGGGTTCGGGTTCATAACTTATGATTCGGAGGATGCGGTGGATAGGGCATTGTATAAAACCTTTCATGAACTCAATGGTAAAATGGTCGAGGTGAAGCGTGCGGTTCCAAAAGAGCTTTCTCCCGGCCCTAGCCGTAGCCCTCTGATTGGATACAACTATGGTCTCAGTAGACCCAACAACTTTCTTAACAACTATGCGCAGGGGTATAATCTGGGCTCGGTTGGAGGCTATGGGGTCAGGATGGACAATAGGTTTAGTCCCGTTGCTAGTGGTCGTACGGGGTTCTCTCAATTTGCTAATCCCGCTTATGGAATGAGTATGAATTTGGACCCGGGATTGAATCCTAGCTTTGCGGTGGGTTCCAACTTTAGTAGTAATGTCGGTTATGGGCGGGTTCTGAGCCCATATTTGAGTAGCAATTCGAGCAGGTACAATACTCCCATCGGGTATAGCCCGAGCAGTAACCGCGGTGATTCCTTTTTAGCCTCTCCAACGAGGAACCTAAGGGGAAACGGAGGCCTCAACACTTCAATGACTCTCGGTGGCTCGGGTTCGTTCTTGGCTTCTGGTGGTTTTGGAGTGTTTGGAAACAACGGGGCGAATTGGGGGTCTTCTGTTCCCGCTCAAGTTGGCGGGAATTCATCTGGCGGCTATGCTGGCGGGAATTTCGGATTCCGGAGCGGGGATAACAGTTACGGGCTGGGATCTGGAGGGATTGGAAGAAATAATGCAGCAGCTATGGCTACAACATCTTCGTTTACTACACCTATCGGTGCATACGAGGGGTCTTACGGGGATTTATATCGCAGCGCTTCTATGTATGGAGATCCAACTTGGCAAGCTGCGTCTTCTGATCCCGACGGTTCTGGTTCTTTCGGATATGGACTTGGAAACCCGGGAGCTGCTACCGCCAAAGATTCCGAAGGTTATATTGGAGGTTATAATATTGCAAATAGACAATCAAATAGAGGTAACATTGTTCTTCCAATCGCATAATCGCTTTTTCCATTATTAGGCAATATGCTTGAGTCCATTTGTTGTGTGAACGATTCTTTACTACGTTGTCTCGTGAAAAAGCAATGAGATCTTTAATAATGTACTTTCCCTTAAAAAGCAGATAGAAAATGACAAAGTATATAGCTTTCAGACTTTTTGGATGAGAAATGGTATCAAAAAGTTGTTTGAAAAACAAAAGATAGTTGAAGACGAATCAATTTCTAATATTGTTGTAGATGGAATAAGATATTATTAAAGTATAAATCTACTTGGAACTTCTATTCAAACATTTATAAAGTTCTCGAGCATCTAATGATAGTGCCCTCTCCTTTACCCTTACTTTTTATTTCTTCTTATTCTAGTCCTATAGATTTGTTTGAATCCGATTTTGTATAGAAATTATATACTGATTTCTTGTTTCACGATCTGCGTTCAGGAATTGCAGCATAGGAGTTCTCATTATTTGGATATATGGAAGATAATATTAGGAGAAGAGACGTCAGTGAAGTGGACCTTGAACGTTTTATAATACATATTTCAGATAATAAGGAAAACTGATGATATAGAGCTAACGTCGTGGGTCTTGTCTGAAAGGGCGCAAGAATAGGTGTGTTCCAAAAGAGAGCAGTTTTTAAGGGATTTTGTCAAGGCTTAAGGTTTTTCGTTTTTTTTTTTTTTTTTTTTGGTTGCTATTTATAAGTGATTTAGGCTCCATTCTCAGCATTTGATCGAGATGTAAATGAGATTGCAGGAGATACACTCACAATATGCTTGTTCTTTATGATCCGCCACAAACCAAGTAACGCTGGTACAAGAGAGGTAGAGCATATTTTGATCGATAAATTCTTTTTTTTTTTTTTTTTTAGGTTTTTGTGCGGTGTAGTGACTGACTGGCAAAGTATGCCGGTGTTTCTCGTTTAGAGTTTCCCCGTTTATTTTCTTCTCTGGGATTGTGTGTGCTCTCTCAGATTGTTTGTGAGATGTTGCCTGCTTGATAATGGTGTGGAACAATATAGGGATACCACATAGGATCCCCCATCAATAAAGTACTCAATATTTCTATTCATATTATAGATTGTGTAAACAGTATAAAGCTTTTTTTGCCTGGTTTTTTTGTTTCCCCTTTTTACTGTGGTTATAGTTGCATACCTAACTTGCACTCCTATTTTGTATTTCTCCTTGCTTGCCTTGTGAGTTGTGACTCTGCAGCTATATGGTGGTTGTCACTTTCAATAAATTTTGCAGGGGAAAACAAACAAAAACATAGCAGATTGTCATAAGCAGTTCTTTGTCACATCTTCATATATGAGTTGTACTATGAGAAATAGTGTCTCCATGGAAATCAGTGTTGGTAAAGTGGTGTGAGTTTGTGGTTTATGTTAGAGGGAAGGGTTCAAGAGAGAATTGTCGGTAAAAAGTGAAGACTAATTTGATCTATTCATTTGGGTAGATTAATGGGTTGTTGAAAAATAAAAAGAAAAAGGTGGTGTTAGTTTTATAAATATTAAAATTTTCAATAATTATAAAATTGATCATGTATTTTTTAGAATATGGTCCTCTTGTAAAAAGTGAACACTAATCATAGCTGCCCCAACGGTTGAGAATTTTGTTAACATGGACTGCTAAACTGGTTGCAGAGGCGAAATTTGTCACAAGAGTCTAATGGTTGAGTCTCACTAATGGCCGTGTGGGAGCAACCTTTCAAAATGAGGGGGTTCATTGTGCATAGTGAGCAAAAGTCTAGCATCTGTTAGTCAGTTGAGTTACCACGATTTACCCTTCCACAAACTGTCGGGTAAGGTGTGGGGCAGGCAATTCCACATCTTGTCACAAGAGAGTTTTTGTTTAAAAAATACGAGATCAATTTTATAATTATTACAAATTTTTAAATTTGTAATATTTAAAAAAACTAACATTGCCTTTTTTTTTCTCTCTCTTTATTTTTAACAACTCTCAAATGTTTATCCATGGATGAATCAAATCAATGCTCAATTTTTACCTGAAAACTCATTTTCACCTAAACCCTCCCCTATATACCTGTATAAGTTTGTACATATATGTACAATGGTAAAACAACGTGGGCTTGCAGTTGAGTTTATTTATTATATTATGATAAAAGTAATGGCGAATGAATACGGGTTTGTGCTTCAATTATATGGTATGGTATGGTATGAAGTAGTGGCATTGGCGCCCCATGTTGGATCTGAGAACATGCAGACCTGCCCTGTCTTAATGATACTTACTTTGAAATGTTCATTGTAGCAGAAATATGAATTTTAATATGACCCACAACTATTCATAATTCACTTATTCACTCAAACTTGATCTTTTTTAATATACTATAAATTAATTTTTAGATATTATACTAAAAATAAATCTGCAGTACATCTTTTCAAAAAAAAAAAAAAAATCTGCAGTACATTAAAAATGAATCTGCAGTACAAACTAGATAACTAATTTTACATTTAAAATAATTTAGAAACTAATTTTACACTGCATGTGTAACTTTTTTGAAACCAAAAGCAACGATTATATTTCATTATCAACGAATAAAGCAGTTACAAGAAAAGACGGAGGAACATTAAACCAAGAAACACGCTCAGACAAAGAAACAGATTTCCTAGCTAGTAAGTGGACAACCTAGTTCGCTGATCGCTTGACTAAGTAGAAATGCAAATCAACTAAAGAATCAGCAATAACTTTAATATCGTCTATGACTAAATCAAATAGGAGGCACCCTCAAGTTCCACATGTCCGTCCACTCCAATCTCGCATCGCGCTCCCATTCCCCTACCAAAGATCGATAACAACTTTTCACCGTAAATCGCCCCCTTTATTCGCAATCCAAAACAACGAATCACGCCGCTCCGTGGTGGCCAATGGAATAGACAGAACAAGTGACTGAAAATGTCATTTTCTTCTTTTAGTTCTAAATTAATAAATTTGTTTTAAAGAAATTGAATAATTTATTTGCTTTGTTTGAAAGTTGTTATTATTTTATGTTTAATATATAGTGAATATTACTATGTATAAATAATTTTAATATTATTAATTTTTTTAAAAAAGTATTTAATAAAAAAAGGTGAGTACCTAGTGAAGTGGCAAACTATAATGTTAACTACCGATCATTTTTAATATACTATAAGTTAATTTTTAGATATTATACTAAAAATAAATCTGCAGTACATTAAAAATGAATCTTCAAAAAATAAACATTTAATATATTAAAAATGAACTTTCAGTATACTAAAAATGAATCTATATGCCAGTGATCGATCTTGCAACGTAGACTATGGTCCACAATATAATGATGGATTGAGGTATGGGTGAATTTTGAAAACCTCCATTTTCTAGAGCAAGTATAAAGATATAGTTTGTGTTTGATCTTTTCTGAACCAGATTTTCTTATTCTGCCATTGATCTTGTCTTACCCGGATTCTGTTGTTTTGTTTGTATTGAAGGTATTATGTCTTTTATGGCAGTGTGCTTTGATATGTCCCTGTCTGTGGCAGTAATAACATCTGATTCTTCTCCGGTGTTGAAAGTGATGTTGTGACACTTCTGGACTTTCGTTTGCAGGATTTTCTCTGGAAGCTGAGTTTGGTGACTTTGGTCTTTCAGTAAGTTCCTTTATTTCTTGGATCATCTTGGCTTCTTTTTCTTGAGATTTCATCAGTTTTTCTTGGGTTTCTTTGAGAAGCAGCCCTTGTCTTTCCTTTTCATTTTTTAGAAATTGATTTTCTTACATAAGATTTAGATTTACTTTGATAAGTTGTTTCCATTTTGAGAGCAGTTGGGTGTATGAGTCTAGTAACTCTTATAGATCATCCTCAGTTCTATTCTCACTTTCACGTCTTGTAATGAAGGCTACAAAATTTGTGTTGGTATCTTCTTCACTATCCGAGTCATCACTTAAAGTTGTCATATATGTTTTATTTTTTCTTTTCAGATATGTTGCACATTCAGACTGAATGTGTCCAAATCCTTTGCACTCATAGCATTGTATTCCTTCAAGGTTTGTGCTTTCCTTCATTTTGGTATTGATATATTGATTTTGTTCACTTGAGGAATTTCCTGGACTATTTGAAGAATTTCTATTTTTGCTTTTGAATTTGTTAAACCTTTTGATGACTCTATTGAAGTTTTTGGTCAGCAATGCAATAGATTGTTCCATGTTTTCAGTATCAACATCTGAATTTTCTTCCTGTTCTGATTGGGCTATTCCTTTGCCATTGGTTTTCTTGTGTTGCAGCATCTCAAGTTCATATGTTTGAAGATTTCTCATTAAATCACTGAGTTTGCAGGTATTTAGATCTTTGCTTTCTTGAATAACTGTTACTTTCATCATAAATCTTTTAGGTAATGATCGTAGTACTTTCTTCACTAACCTAGGTTCAGGAATAGGTTCCCCTAGGTTGAATGCATCTCCAGCAATCTCTAACACTCTTGCATTAAATTGAGTGATATTTTCATCTTCTTCCATCTTTAAGTTCTCAAATTGAGTTTCGATCATTTGTAGTTTAGATTGCTTGACTGTAGAATTTCCTTCATGATGATCACATAGTATATCTCATGCTATTTTTGCTATACCAGTGGTGGCAATTAACTTGAAAGTTTTTTCACTTACAGCTCCGTAGATTGCATTTATGACTTTTGAGTTATAATTATATTCTCTGATTTCTTCTTCGCTCCAGTTTGTACATGGCTTGAGACTTCCTTTATCATCAATGGGATATTTTCATTCATTTTCAATAGCTCTCAAGACTCATTCACCTTGTGCTAATATGTATATTCTCATCCTAGCTTTCCAGTATGAGTAATTTGTACCAATGAAGGCAGGGGGTCTGGTGTTTGACAGTCCTTCTCTGGAAAACTCCATTAGGATCCTGCTAATAACTTAAGCAGTTTGGCTCTGATACCAATTGAAAAAGAAAAAACGTAGCACACATGGATGCTAAAACAGTAGTGGTAACACAGGGAGTTGGTAACGCAGTTCGGGAAAACCCTAGTCCGCGAGGCACTTCTCAATTTGAGAATTTGCCTAAATCCACTAAAAACTCAATATTCAAAGTACATGGTTTGAAACCTGAGATTACACAATAGAATGATCTTTTTTACCAAATTATTGTAACCTAAACACATGTACTACTTTCTATGTGAATTTAGAATACTCTCAGACCTCACAGAATAAGCTAGGGAATTCGTGAGTTGTAGTGATCAGATGGACGGTCTTTATATAGCTAGCTAATCCTTATACACCCAGTATAAGTACTATTCCTACTTTGTTTAGGCTTTGAATTTATATCTTATCCTTTTTAAATTGGATTCTTTTTTACTAACAATTTTAACTAAACTTCTTGAGTCAACACACACCCTTAAATAAAAAATAAATAAATAAAATAAAGAAAGATAACAGTAATGTAGACCTAAGCCGGGACAACTAACTCACATTACATGAATGGTGGCATGGGCTATATAAATTCACTTTAGAAAAATGACCATGGATCGAGGGTTTCTTGTGTTCATCCTCTCAAAGTGAGGAGAGTTTAAAAATTATGAATTTACAGTATAAAAATTATGAATCTAATTCCGTATACACCTTGCATGGTACACACGGTTGCACAGCGCCCCATATAGGAGTTGACCCGATGCCCGACGATAACATGTGGGTTGTGCCTTGGAGGGTTTTTGATTGAAATGTGCAGATTTCATGAGTAATGGACACAAATGGGCAAGTGCAATAAAACAAAGGCTGTAAATGTAAACATACATGTCACATAGTTTTCATGGATTAAATGAACATACAATATATAACAATACTTTAACCCAACGGGGTAGCTCAAGTGGCAAATATGAGCTCTCTTTATGAGAGGGCCAGCTCTTGTGCCTCTCGGAGCGAGGGGGATTAGTCAGATGGACCTGGACCGTAAGACGGACAGAGAAAGACCGGGAACACCTGGTGGTTTACAAAAGGAAAAAAAAACAATATATAACACCACAAGAGATAGAATTGAAGTTCTTCCATGTTACCAACACCATCACTCTCACCCTAACCATTAGTCCATTAGAAGTCACTCAGAGAATCATCAGAAGAAAGCTCTGCTCCCATAGAACACCCGAGAGCCCGAGCTCTTGGGGGTTTGCGATTTCTGATCCGAGCTAGAATTCCCAGAACTGGTTGTCGTGCTCTCGAGCTCCAACGGGAGCTTCATCTTCGCCAATGACTCGGTGAACTGCTGCATGCTCTTCATGTACATGTCGATTATATCCTGCTGCACCACCTTCTGCTCAGCCTCAATGTTCACAGCCATCACTGCAGCCTTTGGAAATACACTTTCTTCTGCATCTCTGTCATCTAAACTCTTCTCCTTGGCGCATTCTTTCGAAGGAGAAATGTACTCTTCGGGTGCTGTTTTTGAAGCCCCGGGCGTCTCAGAAGACTGGGAGCTTGCAGGATGTGACTCGTTGGTTGATACACATACACTGCTGGGAGGGGAATCCATGTTTCCAGATGGAAAACTCTCCCCGACATCCGGGCTGGGCTGGTTTTCGTTGTCAGAAGATGATACTAAGCTATCCGAGGTCTGGGATTCCAAGGTGGAGCCTTGGATGCCAAAATACTCAGACACCATCACATCATTTTCGTTCATTATTTTAGGGTCTGGGAACTCGATTTTCTCGAACTCGTTGGCAAGGGACTCGAGCATTACTTCTGCATTTTGCACAGTTTTTTCTGCAGAAATGGAGATGAGTTCTGGTAAAGTTCCATTGTAAGATAGGGAGAGATGAACAAACCCTGCAGGAGAGTGGAAGAGATCAGTGGATGACAAAGAAAACTCCTTTTCTAACTTCCCATTTCCCAGGAGGACTTCTGAAAGAGGGACTAAAGCAAAGCCAAGCAGTTGATCTTCCATGTAATTCCTCACCCTGCTCATCATCCATATCTCGCATTTCACACAACACTCCATCGTACGAACATTCAGCCTCAGATTCTCATTGAAAACCGGGTTCTTCCCACCCCCGTTGATGATTTTGGTGGAGAGAGCATTGTCGGGATCACTCGTCAGGCAAAGCTTAGCATAAACATCCTGCTTCTGGTATATACAGATGTTGTGGATGTCCCTAGCCTGATGTATATACACATCTATTAGGCCAATCAAGTCCTCTCTTCTTGCAGAGATCCCCCCGCTCGAGTTCTTCAAGAAAAGCTCAGTGTTCTGCTTCTCGGGTTCTGTGAAAATGGCACAACTCTTGAAGGGTGACATGACTGACTGAGGAGAATCCATGATGACAATAGTAACTGGACCTGTGAAAACACAAGAACATGTTCAAAATCCCAGCTCTCCAAGCTAAACTTCTTATTCAAAGAAGATCGTTTTGCATAGGGGGCAACACCAGTCAAGTTGGTCAAGCTATTAACTTGATAACCAGACGTTTACAAGTTTGACTCTCAGTGATAACAACTTATTGGCCTTCATGGTTTGAGCTGGTCAGCTCGGAAAACCTATATTGGTGCCTTGGTCGAGTTACCATTGACTTGGTAACCAGAAGGTTACAAGTTCGACTCAGTATGGGACAACCTAGGCTGGTTTAACTTCTTGTGGGGCTACAGTTCCCCTCAAAACTAGACCAAACTCAAACACACTATCATACCCAGAGCAAGAAACAACATCTTTTTGTCCAATTCTCCAGCAAAAATTAAGGCCCCAAATACAAGGATCAGAAATCTTAAAAGCCTATGATGAACTTTAAGGAAAGTCATATACTAAACCAAAAAAATATGTTCCATTCCCATACCAATCACTGAATCTTTGAGCTTCCTCTGTATGCCAAACTCAAAAGAAAAAAGAAATCATTTATGATTTAGCAAACAAGCACATTGATTGGCACAGCTCCAGAATCAATGCTCAAAATCAAGAAATCAGTTAAAGCTTTTATCTAAAAGCCTTGAAAAGTAAAGTAAACACCATCAGAGCTGTACCTGATGGAAACTGCCCCACCCCAAAGTTGAGATCCCAAACTCACAAAACAGAATTAAAGAATATGCTAACAAAGGCCAGAATGTTGGGAGTAGATAAAACCAAACAAGTTTGAATCAAAAAAGGTTCCACCTTTTTCTTCTTTCACCAACAAAGTTACAAAACCCAAAGCAAATCAGCAACTAAAATCTTCAATGACCTTTATGCAAGGAAAGCTCAAAAACCCAACTCAAGATCGGACAGAAAATCAAACCAGAAAGCATAAAAAAGTAATGGAATGAAATTGAAATGGGGTGAGTTTAAGTTTCTTGCCTCGAGATGATTTCCGTTGAAGGTTTAGCTCCGCTGGAGTATCCGACAAACACACGCTTAAGAATTAAAGAAGAAAGTTATTTTTTAAAGAGTTAGTGGAACTGTGTGAGTGGGATTGGAGCTAGGAAGAATGTTAAAGTATTTGCAGAGGAATAGAAAACGGTAGTGGGATTGCAGGTTGTCAGAAAAACTTCCGTATTTGTACTCCTTTTGTTTTTTTCTTCCAACCTCAAAATGGCTTTTGAGATTCAAACATTAATATTTTCTTTCAAATACTATCTACTGAATTAATAAGCTAAATTCGTACATACACTCTTTTTGTTTTCTTTTAGAATAAGGTTCAAATTGACACTGAACGAAAAAAGTGCAATTAGGTCACTGAACACTAAAAAAATGTGCAACTTCACCTGATAGCAGGTTACCCTCAATTTTAGCAGGTTATCTGCTTACGTGGCAACTGAGTTGGCATTTTTAATAAATTTTAATTAATTTTTAATAAATTTTAATAATACCTTTTTATTAAAAAAAAATTTTAAAAATAAAAACGACTTTATTTTATTTTTTATTTAATTTTTTCCATTTTTTTTTATAAAATGTATTATTAAAATTAATTATTAAAAATGCCAACTAAACTGCCACGTAAGCAGGTAACCTGCTAAAATTGATAGTAACCTGCTATCCGGTAAAATTGCATACGTTTGGAGAGTTCAGTGGCCTAATTGCACATTTTTTGAGTGTTCAATGGCCTAATTGCACTTTTTTTTCATTCAGTGGCCTAATTGCATTTTCAGGTTACGTTCAGTGGTCAATTTGAACCTTATTCCTTTTCTTTTTGTTTGTTTGTGGGGTTAAATTCATTTTTGCTCATAAATTTATAGGTCACAGTTCACCTTCTTTTTTATCAGAAGATCTATGTTTGCTCCTATTATTATTGTGGCATAATTATTTTTTATCCTTTATCAACAAAACAATTTAATTATCGTTAAATACAATGACATTTAAGTCTTCAATTGTAAATTTTTTCAAAAAAATATAAATATATATATAAAAAATAACGGTCAACCTACTTTGTATAAAAAAATATCGAAATGTCTTTGTATTTAACGACATCTCAACAATTTTGTTGATAAATGACTAAAAATGGTCATGCCATAATAATACTAAGACCAAATGAGGATGTTATAATAAAACTAATTAAAAGTGAACTATCACTTATAAATTTATGACAAAAATAAAATTAACTAATTTTTCTTTTGTTGGGAAGTTTGCATTAATAATAATAATAATAATAATAATAATAATAATAATAGTTAAGAGCAAGTGGTGTATCATAAAAATATGCTATTAATTCATAAATTGCCTAATATAGTGACAATATAGTTTTTAAGGGGAAATTCTATTCACACCCCCCTTTTTACTATTTGCACCACCTACATAATAGGTCAAACCACTTTATAGGTGGTGCTAACTAAAAAATGCTATTTACACCCCATCATTTAATGTGGTCAAAAGATTAATATTTATTTTATATATATTTTTATTTTACAATCAAATTAATAATTTAAAAAAAAAAAAAAAAGAACACCAAACTTGGCGTCACCTTCTCCGGTGAGAAGGCAGCCCAGTGGGTCGCCTTCTCACCGGAGAAGGCGACCCAGGTAGAACATTTTAGGAACCCTGCAAAAAAAGAAGACAAAGAGGTGATTTAAAAAAAAAAAAAAAAAAAAAAAAGTTAACGGGTCACCTTCTCCAGTGAGAAGGCAGCCCAGTGGGTCGCCTTCTCACCGGAAAAGGCGACCCAGGTAGATTTCTACCTGGGCTGCCTTCTCCAGTGAGAAGGCAACTCACAGTGGGTTGCCTTCTCACCGGAGAGGCAGGTAGAAATCTGCCTGGGTCGCCTTCTCCGGCGAGAAGGCGACCCACTAGGCTGCCTTCTCACCGGAGAAGGTGAGTCTTTTTTTTTTTTTTAATGTATTAATTAATTAAATTTTAAATTATCAAAGTATTAATTACAAGTTTGACAAGGTGGTGCAAATAGCATTTTGACCACCCATTAGGCTATTTGCACCACCTATGTATTTATTGTAAGTTTTTAACTTTTTATATTTTCAATGTACTTTTTACCCCATTTTAGTCAAAGGGAATGCAAATAGCAACACCCCTCTATGTATTAAACTTTCATTGATCAACATTGTTTTTTATTTTAAAATAAATATTTAATTATTACAGTTATGGACACATGTCATAAAATCTTATCATCATTCTCATAAATCTTACTTTTTTGGAGCTAATCATTATCTCATTCGATATTTTTTTTTCATAAAAATATGATATTTATTATAATTTGTGAGTTCGAAGTTCAGTGGATGTGTTATTGGCTCTTTGTGTTTCAGTAGGTTGAAAAAATAGAAAAAAGTAACTATGAACAGATACTATATTGTAATAGAGTCAGTAGCATTCAAAAAAGTAGTATTATGAACATAATCCTTAAAATATGATATATCATCATTATAATAAATCTTATATTTTATTTGGAATAATTATTATTTCATCCAATATTTTACTTCACCAAATTAAAATATGATCTTCAAGTTCAAAATTTTTATATTAAATATTTTAAAATTATCCCAACAAATAATCATAATTAGATCAAATGGCTTATACCATCATATTATAAACTTGCATCATTATTTTAATTCTTTGATATTTTAATTTAAAATAAAAAGGAATGAGATCTTACCTAATATTTTAATAAGTATAGGCTCAAGTTCAAAAGTGTTGAATTAAATAAACAATAATTATCCAAAAAAACCAGTATACTTAGATTAAATCACAACATAATAATATGAAATATTTGAAATTAATTATAATAAAATTAAATTTTTATTATGATAGTGATAAATAATAAATCTATTATATTTATAGTAAGATAAAGTTTGATAACTCAACTTAATTTATGGTAGGTTTGAAAATCGAGAGTCATTTTCCGGATTTTCCTGTGTCTATGTATTCAAGAAAAATAAAGTAAAAAATGTCTAATTTTGTGAAAAATATCTTCATATATTTGTAGTTAGAAGACGTTTTCTGAATTCTTTATTTTTTAATATTCATTTTCTTTCACCTTTTATTATTATTATTACCACCACCACCACACTCATAACAACTTCTTCTTCTTCTTCTTACATGGCGTTTGGTTGAAGGGAATTTAAATTCCATTGGCACTTAATTCCCACTTAATTCCAAATGCCACAAAATTCTCTTGTTTGGTTGAAAGGAATTGCAATTCCATGGAATTGCAATTCACCCATTTTCATGGAATTAAAATCTCATGTCCCCCATTAGGATTTTAATTCATGGGATTTTAGGAAGAAAAAAGGATAGTGATGAGTCAAAATTACCTCTTTCCTTTTTTAACCTAAAATTAATGCCTAACAACAACAATTGACATTTTTAACTTTATACTACTTTTTCCCTTTCAATCCCCATGTATACAAAACATTGGAATTGAAATTCCCAGTAATTCTACTCATGTAAACAAAATACTGGAATTTAAATTCTCACTTTATTCACAGCAATTAATCTCCCATGGAATTGCAATTCCTTTCTCACATAATTCCCCCTCTCCAACCAAACGTCATGTTATTGTATAACAAATAATATATTTATTTTAAAAAAATGAATCAAACAGAAAAAATACAATTTATTAACTATCAGCAAAATAAAAAATAAAGTTTTTTGATTTCGTCAAGAAACTTAAATTAATTTTTAAAAATTAGTTATTTTCTGAAAATCATTTTTTTAGAAAATAATTTTTATGTTTCTAAACGGATCCAGTTACAATGATAATAAAATTTGCCTATTGCTTTTTAATTGAATAACTAAAATATAAAAAAGAATAGGAAGTATATATTTGGTGTTATCATATATGAGGAAGGTTTGTACGTACACCGACCAGTGCGGTGTGCAAATTGCGGAATGTCCAAATTTTCAATCAAACTGGGCCCTACAAGCGCTTTTATACGTCACCGGGTCCATGATGACTCTGACCTTTCTTTATTGGACTTTTTTTTTTTTTTTTTGGTTTTGTTTTTTTCTTTTTTTTTTCCTAATATTATATTTACAAATTAATAATATTTTTGTATTTTTTTTTAAAGATCACGATTTACTCATTCAAAGTACACAAAATAATCTACTGAAACTAATCTTAGAGGCAAAGTATCTATAAAATTCATGTACATTAGTGTTTTGTTTAATTTAGTTATTGTATCTTTATTTAATTATTTTGTTCGATTTAGTCTTTTTATTTTAAAAAGTGATGAAACTAAAAATAATAATTAACAATGTTAATATTACCATTAACTTAGCTTACATGGCGCTTATATTATTACAGCCACATCATGATATTTATATTCCCACTCATATATTATTTTATAAATATTTAAATTAATTATTTTTACCAATAATATTTTTTACCACGAATATATTACAATAATATGTCTAAAATAAATAATTACAAGCATGCTGACATCAAGTCTTCAAATCTCATTATGAACATGGTTGTAATTATTTATTTTGGACATACTAATTTAAAATATTAGTGATAAAATAATTAATTTTAAATATTTATGAAGTAATATATGAGTAGGAATATAAATATCATGAGGTGACAATGATGATGTCAGCGCCATGTAACCTAAGGCTGAGGTTATCCCAACCAATTTTAGATTGGCAAGATGATGTGGATTAGCCACATCATTATTTTCCTTTTTTTTTTAATTGAAAGGGGTTTGCAAATTTGCAAACCCCCGCCGTCGCGATAGCTTTTGTACTTTTTTATTTTTTATTTACTTTTTAATATTTTAATGTAATTAATAATGCTATTTTAATATATTGGGCCCACTTTTGAAAGTTGATTAGATTTGTAGGGATGTAGGGTGAATAGTAGATAATTTACAAATGGGTTGATGTGAAAGTGAGATTCATTTT